TAAGAAATTTTATATGGATAATCCCAGAGATGCATTTGCAAGGCCTGTCAGTGTTGTCCTGTAGAGGTATTGAAAAGGATGATGTGATGATGGGAGATGATTTACATAAACGGTACCACTTGTAACAGCAACTCTAAAGACAGAAACTACCTTGTCAAGCCTTTTTATTTTGAGAACTGATGGATGCCCAAAATCCATTGACACATTCTAAGCATGCTGGTTGATGTTAAAAAAACAATCAAGAAAAGGCAGGAAAAGCCACCGCAGACCTCCTAAAATCAATTAAAACAAGAGCAGTTTCTCCAAGTGAGGAAGATGAGCTGGTGGGATTACAAGGCTGACAAAAGTTCCCTAAAGCTTGAATTAGGAAGCTGTGGATGGCAACAGGGTTAAACCCTCTGGAAGACAAGAAAAAACTACAGATCAGCGGTACAACTGCAGAGCAAAAGAAGAGATGCTCTGGCAACAGAAAAAATGGCCTGATCTACTCTCTTTAGCAGTCCCTGGTTTCTGTTCCAGCAAGGCGTAAAGACTTAGCTGTGTGACAGCCGATAGGAATTTATTCAGAGTGGAACTAAAGTCTCAGAGGTATGCAAAGTAATTCCTGTGGGATCTCAATTCTACCACCATTTGTGAGAGTCCTTAATCTACTAAAGGCCATGCGTTTTCCTAAACCTCAATTTACATGCTGTATAGAATTTGTGCTCTTAAAACAGAGGTTATTTGTACTGAACACTGAAGTGTATTAGCAATCCTGCAAGAGGTTCTGGGAATAGCAAGTAGGGCTGGTGGACAGGATATTTGTATATAAATCTTTCTATTGCATTTGCTTAATCACCATTTTTATAATTATTTTTACCTTCAGCTTTCTTTGGTTTATTTAAATCAAGCCCCTAATTGTTGCTTTTTACTTCACTGTTCAGTGCGTTTCTTAACTCCTTTAGGTGGGAGCACTGCTTTTGTTCATCAAAGTGGCTACTCTTAGTCAGTGGCTCTCATCTCATAGCTTACAGGCAACATTACCCGTGGGACCCTCTGATGTTCCATGCAGCCTCAGGGAAGTAAACAGTTAAAGCTGAAGTTGAGAAGGAGAGCAAAGTGTTGATGTTGCCCAGGACATATTATTTGCTCAGTTTTGCTTCTGAAGGAACAGTGAAGATTGAGAACTTGAAAACTTTCTGAGAACTTGAAAAGTTTCTGAAATCTGCAAAATGTTTTCACAGCTGGGGAAACAGAGCCTAAAAACCAGACACCCTAAAATCTGATACTGGAATGACTGGAGCTGGAATTTGTTATGTAAGCATATACTTATCTTTAACCATTTGAATAAGCATATCACTATTTAGTGTATCTGAACCTGGCAGACTTTGAATAATATCACTATTCACATAATTTCATAAAAGATGACACCATTGCCCAGAAGGAAATTCTCCTGGATAAAATACTTCCAAACATTCTCATTAATTTTTGTGGGGCCAGAATTACATCTCCTTTTTTTTAATTACATCTGTACATATCATATAGTCTTCCTATAATTTTCTTGTAAGACTATCATATGCACTAAGAGAAGAAGGTGGAAATAAGTTAATTGATCATCTAGCAGCAAATTTTCATGATCACTTTACATTTTTTTCTGTTGATTGGATTACTTACATTGACTGAATCATTTTACTAGTGGGAGGAATAGCACAGGTGATCATTCTGTTCTTAACCTAGTCCTTGGAAAATATAAATAGTAAAGCCATTGTGTAAAAAATAACTTATTATAGCTTTGGAAAGGGATGGGATCTGGTCTAAAATCTCTCTCGCTGGAGTTAGATATATAGTGACATAAAGGTGGTCATATGTTGTCAAGGTGGATTTGCTGGCAGTAGATTTTAATAATAACTAAAGTTAACATATAACTAACATTTTGTAGACAAGGTGTTTAATGAAATACTCAGATTCTTAAATCTGTAGTTGGGCATCTAAACAAGTAGCCAGATTTTCAAAACTCTGGCCCAGAAGCTCCGAATGAAACTCAATTGTGGAAAATCCTGATCTATGTTTTTAAAGTGTTATAGACCATTCATTAACTTTCCCAATGACCCAGAAATATCACCTATATGTGAGATATAGGAAATTTGATACAGAAGTGAAACTGATTTGCCTAGGTCACAGAGTCCATAACAGACCAGGATTTGAATTCAGGAATTGTTGGCTCACAATCCCATGATTTTTCCTGCACTGTTAGATTCCCCCCATAATCTTATGAAGCTGTATGATTTCCAGTGGCATAGCAGCCAGAAACTGCAGATTCTGAGAATCTGCACGGAGTTATTTTCTGTGTATGGGGGCTTAGAGATGCAACTCCAGTTGAGTGGACTGGACTTAGTGTCTGTTTTATTTTTAAATGGCAAAAGATAAGGGAGAGATTGAGTATTTCTTAGAGAGAGTCAAGCAACTGAAAGAAGATCTTGTCACTTGGACGGAGTACGTGGGCAGATCTGAAGTTGAACAAAGAGTGAAGAATCAGCAGCTATGAAGGAACATGTTTATTTGCAGTATTTTTATAGCATTTAATCAGTTCAAATTACATTCTCTCTATGGGTTAAAGAAAGCTTTACTTTCAAATATCATGCTCTGCACACAAATGAGAATGTTATCCTGAGAAAGATGCATGTAGCAAGTGAAGAACAGTTGAGATGAGATTTGATATCTCTGATCAGAAATAAGAATGAATATTGCAATTTAAAGGATTTTTTCGCTAAGAACTTAATTGGACCTAAGCCTTCAAATGCTTAGAATCCTCTATGGGTACAATATACTATACAGAAAGAGGTTGTGAATATTTAATATTTTCTTATCCAAATATTATGCTGCAATATGACAGAATAGGACATAAATTATGGATAACCCATGGGCATATTGCTGCTACCCCTCAGGAGGTTGGGTTATAGGAGAATATTGAGATTCAGTCTTTAGTGCAGAACCTCTATAGGTTACAGTGAGGCAGAAGGCCCAACTGTAATAAAAACTAGAAAGGACCATAAGGTTACTACTACAATTTATTTTAACACAAACTGTGAGCTGTTCATCTGTAAAACACTTCCTCTGTGTCTTCTTGCATGTGTAATAATTTTAAGAACTTAAGCGAACCAGACACTTAATATTGAAAGTCCAGCTGCAGCAGCAACTCTATCAGTATGATAGGTTTTTATTATTCCATTTGATATATTGGGTAAAGTGAAGTACATTATATTCTGCTTGGAGTCGAGAAGTAATATTTCATTTTGCATATTACTGCAGCTTAGCACATAACATTTGCAGCTGTTTATACTGATTGTTAAAAGGACCTCTTCTCTATGTGCTGTAGAGGCAAAATTTGCTTTACTCTGAAGCTTAACTTTAAAAGGCAAGTATTTATTTTCTCTGTACAAAAGCCTGAGTTCTTAGTAAGAGAGATTTCTCTTCTTTTTGCTTTTCTGTGTTTATTGTTTTTCCCCTTTGGTTATTGTTTTCAAATGGTAACTTAAAATTTCACTCAATAGACCAGCAAGTTTAAATAAATGCCATGTGTATTGTTCCCTAATATCAGTTTTCTAATGACTCTGTGGCAATAATAAAACTATCTAGAAGAGAAAACATTAAGTGATTGCTATTTAAATATCTTAACTATTTCAGTATAGTATAATTGTATTATCAAATAAGCACACATGGCACATTCATGTAAAGACCATTTTATGGGGTAGAGGAGAGAATTGATCTACCTGGAAAAACAGAGTTCTTTGTAAAATCTGGGTAAGTCTGGGTATATTTTAGTTTCCTCATCTTTAGACTAAATGTAGTTATATTAATCTTCCACATTGGGTTGTTTTATGATTCAGTATCCTAAACTTGTATATCACTTTGTGATCTATCAATAGAAGGTACAGAATACTGAAATAGTTTTGTGAACATGTATGGGTAGAATACGTAAGATATTCAAATCTGACTTTGTTGTTACTGTGGGCCTTGTTTTCTTTTTTAGCCCTTTTTATACTTTTACCTTAGAGACACAAGGGGCTCAGTTCCTGGGAATTTTTGTGCAAAGATGGAGGACTCATTCTCCATCCTTAAATATTACTGTCTTCATTCATTCTCCATTATGATAGACTTCCCTAACATTCCCCAACCTGCATAGGTATATCATAAAACACAACAGGATAGTTTCTGCTTGCAACTGCTGCCTTTCACTGCAACTCATTGCCTTCTTTAAACAGCATTTCAGAAAATAAGGAGGTATCAACCATGTAGTAGCTATATGAAACAGCAAGAATGCTAACCCAATGCACCCTGCAAAATTACTGGAGACCTAAAGTTCAAAATAGTTTTCTTATCAATTGTGACTGGTTGGTGTGATTGTAAACAAATGGAAAAAATTCTTTAAAGGTTAAAAGGTTTGTAAATTGAATATTGGAAATGAATTGTGTTTAAATTGGTGTCCTTGAATTGCTACATCTGCAGGACAACAAGTTTAATCAACATTAGCCACTCTCTAAATGGTTAAGTACATAAACTCAAGAGAATAGACTGCTGGGTAAATTCCAAAACACTCAGTACAGTATATTGAAACTGATCAATTTAAACAAGCAGCAAATTGAGATCCACTTCAACCTCTAACACATTTGGGGAATACAATTAGAGAAGACATTCCGTTGCTTATGGGAAAGTGAAGTTAGCTTTCAGTACTGACAGAAAATGAACACCTTTAATGCATCAAGATTAGTAATTTACATTTGGCGGTGGGAGTAAGAATCTTAAAGATATAGGTGTCCCTTGGAAATCTGGAAAGTAGCAACGGCATCAACCAAACAATTATTGCTTATAATCTTCTACTTAAGGGATGCATATTCAATCCACTACTTAATGTAGTGAGAAAAAAATCAGTGCTAGCGCTTCACCTTTAACATTTCTTATAGCACAATAAAACCGGGCCTTTGAAACCAAAAGACAGGCATATTTAGAGAGTGTATACTTACCTCCATCTAGTTCTTCAGCTCCAAAATGATTCCTGTAGAAGAGCATAATCTCAATCTTGTAACACTTGTAGATAGTCACTAAACAAACAAGCAGCAGCAGAATAGCACCAAGCCCACCAGCAAGCTCAACTGTATACATCAGCTCTGCAAAGAATTATAAAATGTAACAACCACATTCAGAACTGAAAGTCGTCAAAACCAAAATGCTTTTCAGCTTATATATGACAGTAACAGTGCTAGATTTTTTTTCTCATTTAGTTTTGGATTATTTATAGGAACCCTGGAAAAGTATCCAGATAATGCCAGCTTGTTTCCATATTTATATATATATATATAAGAGAACTATACATTTCCCCTTGTATAAAAATGTAATTACTTATATGAAAAGTAAGCAAACTCTTTGTGTTGAATGTTCTGTGCTAGGTTGAAAATACATACACACATTTCACTGTTTTACAAAGATACATTTTGACACACTATTCATATAGTGGTTAGAGAGATAAGTGCACTTCTTTTCGGAAGATACACCCTGTCCCATATACTATACACCAAAGATAAGATACAGCTAAGATTTTTGTTGCGGTTTTTGTCTGTGGCACAGGATTACACCAAAGAATGATTTTTCTTTTTTTCAAAATACAAATAAAAATCAGCCTATGAACCCTGGCCCCTCAAACCTAAGATATATATTAGTATGTTTGACATAGTTCCCTTATTATCTGCAATTCATCTTTATCCTTTCCTTTCTCCCTAAACAGAGTTGGCTTATGTTTAGATGTTGGAAATCATCCCACTTTGTCAGTTTTGACATTCAGATTCAGAGGAGGATTCTTCCTTTTGTTACATGATACCACTGGAGATTCCTGTGATAGATTAAGATCATTGTTTCATAGCTCTGTTCCTGAGGATGGGGATTCTAATTTAATATAGCCATATCTGTCTGTCTGACAACAGCAATTCCTTCCATGATGTCACTTATCAGATGATAAAAATAAGTGATAAGTAATTATTTTTTTCTGTATAACAAGTTCATGTTCCAAAAAACATAATTAAGTTTATTTAGTCAATTATATTGCTACTCAACTAATATTCAAATCAGAATTGTGAATGCAAAAACAAAAGATGCATTTAAAAAAGAACAGTGCAAAGTTCTAAAGGTTTTTGGTTGTTTACTTTATTAAAATTTAGAGAGGAAGGATACCTTGCTATACTGCAAGAAAAGTCATTCATTTGTAATCTCTCTTTCACTCAATATTGAAGAAAGACTGGGAGTTGGCTGAACTTGGAAACTGAAGAAATGCACTGTGACTGCTAAAAAGTCTAATGGGAAGAGAATATAGAGTACTACTTATTTTCATAATATTTGCTTCCAGCTGAGCGACCTGTATTGGAGTTAAGTAATGTATGCCTGCTGTTACACAAGTTACCCTTTTGGTCACTTTTATATAAAATATGACATTACAATTCAATTAAAGAAATAAAACATTAGAGAAAGAAAGCTATTTAATTTATTTTGACTATTTGACAGAAATGTGTACATTCTTATTCTGTGGAAGCATCCAACTGAAAAAGGTTTCATTACTCTCCAGAAGACACAAAAAATGTAATCAAATGAAATAAGAAAGGCATTTATATTCCATGTCATTCTCTTCAAAACTGTGGTGGAAACTCTTTTGTGTTATACATTTTTAAGACAAGCACTGTGTATTCACTCTTTCAGTACTTCGCTGTTCTTTAGGGAGGAGGTTTATTTAAATAAAGTAGAAAAACAGTTTGCATAGACCTCGTAACACAATATTTTAGAAAATAAATGGAAATGGAAATTACACTGTACTGGTTTACTATAGTCTTTTTATCACTTTGTATCATATGAGATGCAGCTGTTCAGTGGGAACTAGAAAAGAGGGATTTAATATGCTAGGTTGCTAAGTACAAAACACACCACTTATGTGCCTACTGTTATAATATATTAAAGGCAAGGAAAAACTTTACAAATGGAAAACAAAAAGTTCTCTGAAATTAATGATTGGGAGATTAGATGGGGAAAAAAGCCCTGCAGGTAGCATTCTTTCAAATTTCAACATGCAGGCAGCCACACTAATACACTGCATCACAACTAGAACTTTTGCTAAGAACAGTTCTCTTTTAAAGTACATTTTGGAGCAGCTTTCACTATTATAATTCTAAAGGTTTCTAGGGCATGTATTTTTTTCTTTTAATATATTTAATCTGAATTCACATAACACTATCCCATAGTCATTATGCCAGCTGAATGAAATTGCAAAATTCATAAGATTTGCTAAGGGTACATGCAGATGCCACATTTAGATCAACCTAACTAGGGTTAGGTTGATCTAAATGCTGATCTGTGCACCTGAGGAGGTGAGCTAAGTTAGACTGGGAATGGGATAGCCTGATCTAGTGAATGTCTGCACATATTTGGAGCATGGCCTCAGGACTGGGGAAACCCAGCTGCTCACCCCATCCTCATCCCCATCCCCATCCCCAGGGCCATGCTCTTTCAACCCCTCCCGCCCTACCTCCCTGCCTGGGCTATTTTTAGCCCCCTGACTTTTCCACCCCCAGGCAGACAACCCCCCTACCATGGACCCATAACCCTGCTATAGAACTGCCAGTCCCCCTGCTCCCATCAACACCCTCACCCCCTTGTACCCACCAACCAACCCCATGTACCCTCTAGCCCCTCCTGACCCCACCTGTCCCTCCCCCAACCCAGACTTACTTAGACCAGGTTCCTGGCATGGCTTCTGGCAAACATCTACACATGCCACTTCTGATATAGGGCGTGGTGAATGTCTGTGCATACCCTGAGTACCCCTAATAGACTGACAATTTGTTTTTATATCCATTGCTGCCAAATCCACCCAGCACCAGGATCATTCTTGAACATACTGAATTGTATGTTGGTTTCTAAGCAGACAGTTTGTGGGCTACATTTCAACATATGTAGCCAGACTGCTGCTCCAAACTGACAAGCATGTATTGGGCCTTAGAGAGATTAGTGGTCAGTGTGTGCCAGACTTGGACTGTAGAAAGGAAGGCTGTAGGCCTGGTGGAAGGGCTGTCCTATTGTGTGAATCTGGACAGGTCCATTTCTCTCATTCTTCCTCATTTTACTCATCTGTAAAATAGGAATCACATTTCTGACCTCATGCTTTTAGCCATACTGATGAAAAGCTACATATGAGAGTTGAGTATGATGATGAGGAGGAGGTAGGGACCACTTTTACTTAAATATAGCAAGACTAGGAAGGCATAGCTATCTTCACACTGATAAGGCTCTCAGTATTTTCTCTCATGTAAAAATGTTTGAGACCTGTTTTTGCAGCTTGTATTCTACTCTCTTTGAAGCCTGATCTGATTTTTTCAGTTTCCTGGAGTGGCAACATTTTAAAAAGTTTCTCTTTCAGCACAATTCTGCATCAGAGGAGAGAAACAAAAAGTGCAAACCTTTTAAAATCTGCTTAGCCTTTGTGTTAGGTAGTTAAAATTATGTCACCTTCCTTTAAGGGACTGAGACTAAATAGTGAAAACAGTAAAGAAAAATTACCAGGCAGAACCTTAAGGGAACTGGCATTCTGTTAAACACAACAAATGAACAAGTGCCAAAGAGCTACGTTCAAGAGTACAGCAATCATTTAGTTACAGGCAATTAACAATAGTCCTTTAGTAGCACAAGAACAGGTCTACTCTAAGGGAAAATGCATTGATTACTGCTGCGGTAGTAGATTGGTTTCTGAATAAATTGCTTCAATTTAAAACAAGATTTGCTACAAGCATTTTGACCAATAGCTACATTTTTTTTTTTATCAGGATGGTTTGGCCAAGCAACCCAGTGAAAGGAACAGCTAATTAAAATAAAGTACATGCCCTCTCTAAACATACTGAATGATATGGCTGGTAATAAATGCACTCATTTTATACTAATCCTACCATAATTATCAGGTGCACTTCTGGAATCCATCTTTGATCTGCACCTGGCTTTAATTTTTGATAAATCTCTTCCCTCAGTGTCACATAGGTAATTTACTTATCATTAAGTGGAGTGTACAGAGAAGTAAATAAAAGAAAAAGGTACACTCAAGGCTTCATACCCATGACTTATTTGGCATGTTTTGGAGACTTTATATTTAATGATTTGTGATGATTTAATTTTTTTTTCTTTTTGTTACTCCACCTTTAATTGATCTGTTAAGTAAAAAAGATGCTTCAAATCATCTTTTTGTGAATGATAATTGTATGAAGATATAGGACTTATAGTCATATATTCAATATCAGAGCCTTTTCCAAAATCCAATTACAGTAGTATCTCAGGATCCAGTCTTACAATAACTTAAGCAGATTGCTTAACTTCATGAACTGTAAATAATCCCCCTGAAGTCACTGGGACTACTCACAGACACTCAAATCAAGCACAAATCATGGTAGTATTGGAGCTTAACCTATTTTTATTGAAATTATTCTGCTTATCTTGGGCAATCAGCTCACTAATTTTGTCTAGGTAGACAGACTTGTTCTGTTAAATGAAATGTAATTGTAATGGGTATTATTCCAAAGGGTAATTCTTGAAGAAATATTGACTAAAATTTATATCCATTGTGTTCTGGAACAAAATGAGTTAGACAAAAAGGGCTTTGATTGTTGATGGAAAGAATAACTTGTCAAACAATGGGGTTCTAGGTGGATGTAACAGGGTGGCCTCCTCATCAGGTCTCCGCCAGCTGCCCTGCTCCTGGGGTAACCACCTGTTTCACTCACCTGCCATGCCTTGATAGAAAAATATGAGAGTTGTTACTAAGATGGGAGGCTACCCATTACTCACTCTGCTGACAAGGGCCTAATACCTACTCCGACCTCCCCTCCATGGGTTCCACACCTCATAGACATTGTTCTGTGTGTGCTACTTCCCTGGCCTATGACCAGAACAAACTGGGCACACAGTTGTAGCTCTTCTCTACAGCCCCAGAGGGCCACTCACATGCCACCCCTCTCTCACCAGGGTCCCACTTACTCCACTGGCTCTCACCCAGCCTGTTTCATACTGCCCACTCTCGGACCACACTCATTGTGCCCGGCCTCACCGAGCGTTGACTGAGTGATTCAACAACTATCGGCCTATTTCA